ACACTGCCTAGGGAGATAACTCAGTAAAGTGCTTGAGAACCTGAGTATGAACCCCAGAACCCACATACGAAAGGAGTGACGATATCCCTTGGGTTCACTGGCCAGCTAGCTTAGCTGAATGGGTGTGTTCTAGGCCGGTGAGAGTTGAATGGCACCTGAGAAATGACATCCTGAGGTTGTCCTCTGACCTACACATGCACATGCACCCTCACACACGTGCATAAATGCATGTGTGTGCACATACACGGAGGGGTGCAGTATACGTAAGGAGTGTGATTGTACACGTCAGAACTGTTTCCTCTCCATAGTGTGCCAGCCACTGAAACTGACAGGGGTTTTGAAAGAGAAAGAGTTTATTCACAAGGTGGTCAAGTGTGGAGATGGGAGAGTGGTCTCAGACCAGCCTCCCCAGGATAGGGTTTGAAAATACTCGTGGGCAAAGCAGGGTGTTTTGAGGTGTGGGAAAGGTGGTGGGAGTAGACTAATCCATGCTCTGCCTGTGCATAATCATCTTCACAAACCACCCTGGAGGCTTTTCAAGAACTCACAGCACAGCTAGGGGTGGTGACGCAGGCCTATGATCCCAGAATTCAGGGAGCCAAGGCAGAACTGTGAAGTAGAAGCCAGCCTACGCTACATAAAAAGACAAAGAAAGAAAGAAAAAAAAAAAAAAAAGGTATGCCTATAACAACACCCAGCTTAGGAGATAGAGGCCAGAGGATCAGGAGTTCAAGGTCATCCTGCCTCAAACATGGAATGGATTGGGGTATGAGGATATTAGCATGATCTCAGAGTGGAATTTGGGGCCTTCTTTTGATACAAGATCACCAAAGGGTCAGTGATTTCCAAAAAAGTAGGTTTCAAATACTTGAAAAAAAAAATCCAGATGACCATTATGACCCACACAACAGCAAAAACTAGTAGGAGACTAATAATATATTGCTCAGGTACATTTCCTCCCAAAATAGTGATTTTTTTTTTTAATTAGCTGAAAGCATGACAAGTTACATGGTTTTTACAGATTTACCTCAGTTTCAAGAATAAGATTACTCAGTACTTTTTGTTGTTTTTTGTTTTGTTTTATTTTTCAAGACAGGGTCTCACTATGTCTGTCTGTGGCTGTCCTGGAACTCTCTTTGTAGACCAGGCTGGTCTTGAACTCAGAGAACTGCCTGCCTCTGCCTCCCGAGTACTGGGATTAAAGGCAAGCACCACCATGCCCCGCAAGCTTTCTTAGTCTTGAAGCCTGGGAAGGGTGGAGGGGGTCGCTCTCACTGTGGAGGGTGGAGGGGGTCGCTCTCACAGGGAAGGGTGGAGGGGGTCGCTCTCACTGGGAAGGGTGGAGGGGGTCGCTCTCACAGGGAAGGGTGGAGGGGCTTGCTCTCACTGGCTTTTCACCTGCAGTGGGTTCTGGGTGTGTTTCTTCCCTGCCCAGTGCTGACTGCTCTCTTAGAGGGGATTCAGTCTCCTGTCTCCCACTGTCTTCCAGCTACACTCTATGGGGTCTTTCTGTTCCATCTTCTCCAGCCAGCTTCCTCTCTCCTCCTGTCGTTCTACTTACATCTGTGAGCCCAGAGATGGAGACTGGCCCCTCTTCATTCTCTTTTCTTGTTTATTTCCTGTTGTGGCTCTCACCTTGTGACCTTCAAGGATAGAGGACATCCTCTGATTTCCCAGATGTTTGGGAAGAATTAGTGGGTGGTGGTACTTGGAATTGAGGCTAGGAAGCAGACCTCCCCAGCATCGGGAAGTCACTCCTTCCCAAGAACCATCATAGTCCAGTGGGCCTGAAGCAGACAAGTTTGGGTTCTGGTTTCAGCTGAGGCTCAGCCTCTATCCCCTAGCAGCTGTTTGTGTTCTGAGAGGAGGACCTAGTCCTACCTCTTCTCTTCCATCTCTTGCCTGGCCTGCTGCCAGGGGCAAGACCCACTGCAGGAGCTGGACTCACAGCTGCCAGTCATGCCCTGTGGGGGTTACAGGTCTGTGTCACCACTCCTAGCTTTTACACGGGTTCTGGGGATCGGGCCTCAAGCTTGTGCAGCAAGCACGCCACACCCCCATGCAGCCACCTTTGAGTCCAACCCCAGGTGTGGTTGGGGCGGGGGTTGTTCTTTTGGGGGCCTGCCACCCAGCTCCCAAATAAATCACACAGAGAGGCTTATTCTTAATTATGAATGTTCGGCCTTAGCTTGGCTTGTTTCTTGCCAGATTTTCTTAACTTTAAGTTATCCTATCTACCTTTTGCCTCTGAGCTTTTCCCATTCTCTTACTTCTGTAAATCTTACTGTTAGTCTGTGGCTTGCTGTGTAGCTGGGTGGCTGGCCCCTGGGTCCTCCCCCTTCTCCTTCTCTGGCAGCTTCTTCCTCTCCTCCCAGATTTCTCCTTCTATACATTCTTTCTGCCTGCCGTCCCCACCTGTTCTTTCTCCTGCCTTTCTATTGGCCATTCAGTTCTTTATTAGACCATCAGGTGTTTTAGACAGGCACAATAACACAGCTTCACAGAGTTAAACAAATGCAACATAAAACTCACACACCTTAAAATAATATTCTGCAACACCCAGGGGATCCAGTGCCCTCTCTAGCCACCATGAGCACCCACACTTATTCGGCAGACACAGAGACACATATACATAAATAAAAATAAAATAAATCTTTTTAAAAAAAATACCCTTAAGTACTCAGCTGTAGAAGGTAGATCAGGGGAACAGGGGGCCTCCTTTTCCGTAGCCTACATCCTACAGGGTCACAGCTCAGCTCAGGAGGCAGGAGGTGGCACAATGAATCTGCCCTCTTGGCCTGTGGTTACAGCCATCAGCCAGGTTATCTGCAGTAGTCAGCATAGGGCAGGTGAGTGTCTTATTGGTCATGTCCAGAGCTTTCCTGCTGATACCTACTCCCACTTGAGAAAACTGCCTTGCTGAAGGCCCTTGTAAGTGGGCTGTTGTCCAGGATTTCCCAAGAGACCAGCAACCATTCTGGAGGAATAAGCCTCTTACCCAAGCCTTCTCTCTGACCCTGTCATGGGACAGCTGGACCAGTGGGTAGGGAAGAGGACATCCAGGGGTATCTTCTGCTTTCGGCTGACTCTAAAGTGTGTCTTCAGGACAGAGCTCTGGGCCTGCGAGGGACTATGGCTCCTGGTGGCCTTGTCCTGCTCTCTGTAGTAGCAGGGGAGCTGAGGGTTTGGGAGTCTAGACCAGCATGAAGATCAAGGAATCCATGTGTATGACAGCAGAACACTGTGAGCATGGCTGCTGTCAGACCCTGCAGCAGCCCCTGTGGGCCAGGCATCCAGGGTCTTCTTAGTCCTGAGGTAGGGACGAGGCCTCAGACAACGAGCAACCCAAGGGTGCCGGAATAGGAACTCAGCATGCAGGAGGAGGAAGGACAAAGGCTAAACTTGGAGGGGAGCTCAGTTGTTCAAGCTAGAACCTAAGGCCAGTGAATTAGTTACTTGTCTGCCGCTGTGAGAAAACACCATAACCAAAAGCAGCTTCCTTAACTTTGGCTCACAGTCCCAGAGGGATAGTGCCGTCATGGTGGGAAGGAGTGTGGCAGGAACAGGAAGCAGAGAGCACAAACTGAAAGTAGCACAAGACTGTGAACTCCCAAAGCCTGCCCCCCGGGGCAGACCCACTCCAGCAAAGGCATACCTCCTAAATCTCCCCGTACAGCAGCGCCACTGACTGGTGACCAGGTGTTCGGATAGCCAGGGCTATGGAGGACGGTTTTCATTTCAACCACCACAGCCTTGGCCAGGCTAACAGCAGAGTCCCAGAATGTAGGGCTGAGGTGCTGTGAAACCTGCAGTCGCCAGAATGAGTGAGGCAGGGGTCAAGGAACCCTTTGTACTGTGCAGACAGAAGGTGAAACCTGAGAGCAATGTCTAGGGACAGGGCAGCTGGAGGCTCTTCAGGTGGCATGTGAGTCCACCATCTCGTTCTTTAAGCCAGCCTCAGTCTGACATCATGGTGAGACTGAACTTGAGAAAGAGTGTGACGTTTAGCAAGTATTTTGTCGTGCTCTGCATCTTGCATAACCTTTGAGCAAGTCATCTAACCTTCCTGGGCCTGGTTTCCTTGGTAGTCCCAAGTCCTCATGGACACCACCTAGCTGTGTGAGCATTACAATTGAAATATACATGAAGTAAAGAAAGTGCCTGGGTGTTACTCTGATCATGCTCCCATAGTACAGTAACACTCTCTGCACAGGAGAGGGTTAGGACAAAGACCCTGGGCTGCAGGAGGCTGAGGAGTCTCTGCTGTCTGAGGTTGTAAACTTGCACTCACTTCACCCAAAGGTAGAAAGCTGCTTGCACATCCCCCTCCGCCAGCCACTGAGCACGCACTTCCCGAGGGACACCTGGACCTCGGGAAACAATCAGCTCTTTCTTGGGTTGGAGCAGCAGCCTAGATTTCTCTTTAAATGTTGCACACAGCATGCTAAGGTGGGCTCCCAGCACCAGCCCTCCTGTAAACATTAGGCTCAGCAGTGGGAAACTACCCTTTTGGGTCCAAAATGGGTATGACCAAAGGGTTTCATGGTGGCCCAGAACAAAGGGAGCAGGACCTCACTGTGCTGCTCAGAGCTCCAGACTCCCAGTGTGAGCCGCAGGTACAAGGAGGGACTACCCCACACGTGTAGTCCCTGGGTTCAGTCTGGCCCTGCCACTCCCCCGCTGGAGGCATTAGTCCTGCACTCCACCCAGCAGAGCGGATGATTCTTAACACTGGAGCTAAGGGAACGGGCAAGTGAGGAAGCAGAGGCAGCACGTGCTGTTAAAGAAGAGTGGGTGCATGTCAGCAGCTAGGACTTGGGGTCCCACGGTGCTTCAGAGGGAGGAGCCCCAGGGAATGGAGAGAGAGAGTGAGAGACCAGCGTATGCAGACGGGTTGCACAGGAGAGAAGGCCAGGAGGGTGGAGAGCATGCCATCCCAGTTATTTGTTGGGGCCTTTCCCCCTCCACTGACCACTCCACTCTGCATCTCTTCCTTGCAGGCCCCGCCACACAGCGTCAGGTGCAGAATGGCCCCTCTCCTGAGGAGATGGACATCCAGAGAAGGTAACCCCATGTCCCACAGGTGCCGGCCTGAAAGCTTCCCAGTAGTGCCAAGAGCACCCTTCGGCTAGCTGAGACACAGCACAGCTCGGGCCAGCACTCTCGGGGGTAACAGGGAACATCTACTGCGTGCCAGAGAGCTGTGAGCTCAATGCACATTAAGGATACATGGCCCTGGCATGCAGATCCATACTTCCATAAACCCCTTCAGAGGCATGCCTATAACTCTGTAGTACCAGGTGGCCCTGTAGCAGGAACCTTAAAAGTTCTTATTAATAAAATCAAACCTGAGGCCAGTAATTGGGGTCCATGCTGGTAGATCAGAGAGACAGAGCAAGCCACAGCTATCTCACCTCGCCACTTCCTCAGCTGGTCCTGTTTCCTCAGACTGGAGGCCTCTGAGTCCTCATCCAGAATGAATCTCAGCTGAACTGTGTTGCTCCATAGCCTGAAAGCTTAACCAGGCCAAATGCTTAACCAGGCCAAATGCTTAACCAGCCAAATGCCTCTAGTTTCTGGTCCTCACGCCTTATATATCTTTCTGCTGTCTACCACCACTCCCTGGGATTAAAGGCTGGCTTTCTGGGATTAAAGGCGTGTCACCATGCTTGGCTGTTTCCAATGTGGCCTTGAACTTACAAGATCCAGAGGGATTTCTATCTCTGGAATGCTAGGATTAAAGGCGTGTGCTATCATTGACTAACTAGTGGCTTGTCTGTTCTCTGACCCCAGGTAAGTTTATTAAGGTACACAATATTTTGGTGAACACAATACCACTACATGGCCCTCTGGTGGGGGACTAGAAGGAGACATGTTCTTCTGACCATTTCTCCTGAGGCCACATCTGTGGAAGCCATAAGCACCAAACAGCCAGGTGAGCCCATCAGCCCACTGAATCAAATCAGCCAGAGCGTCACATGAACTTTGAGACCTTCCTGTTCAGTATGTTCCAGCTTGCCAATCGTCTTCCATCTAGGTACTTGAACCCAACACATCCCTGTCTTTATAGGGGCAGCCCAGCGATAGGAGGAGATTGCTCAGTCAATAAAGTGCTTGCAAGGCACGGATTAGAGCCTCAATGCACTTTTTTTTCTCACAAAAAGTTAGATATAGCACCACCCACTTGAACCCCAAGTTTAGAAGGCAGAGCCAGGCAAACCCTGAGTTCACTGGCCAGCCAGCCTTGCTGTGAGAGGCCTTGTCTCAAAGAAAGAAAAAAAGTGAATGATGCCCAGGAACAACATTCAGGGTAGACCTCTTGCCTCCACACACGTGTGCACATGCAAATGCACACACGCAGAGCCCAGTGCTGTGGCTCTCGGGTACCACAGAACCAGATTTCGAGCCTGGGCTCTCGGGGCACAGAGAGGTCAAGGTGTCTGCTCTGGTTGCTTTTCAGACAAGTGATGGAGCAGCAACAGCAGCACCGCCAGGAGTCTCTGGAGCGAAGAATCTCTGCCACAGGTGAGTGAGAGTCCCCTCCCTCCAGCTTCCACCCACACTGCCCCGGTGGGGTGGCCCCAGCTCAGACAATTCCACTGCTTCACCACCAGGCTCAAGTCTGGTTAGGGCTGGAGGACTGGGGAGCCTCCTGGGCCTCCCATTGTCCCGTTCTCAGTGTCAGCAGGGTGCTGAGAGCTAGAGACATGCTACCAACAAGGCAGACAGCAGTCCTGCCCCCAGGAAGGCATGCTGGTCCCAGCATGAGTGTACAGTGCCTTGGGTGCTGGAGACACTCAGAGTCGGGGCTGAGGCCAGAGGGGAGTGCCAGAGCAGGCTTCCAGGGTGCCGAGAAGGGATGTCAGGTGCAGTGAAGGGACAGGACTTTCCAGTGGCCTTGTGCTTGTGTGGCCTCATCTTACCTAACTCGCTCAGTGCGTTCTCAAGTCTGTCTTGCTCGGGGGAACACAGCTCCAGCTGCTTTCAGGTGTTTTCCACCTGCACTCAGGTGATACTGCCCTCTCACCTGATACCACAGCACCTCCTCTCTGTGGCCCATGCCCCTGTGCACAGTCCTTGAGCAAGTCCTTTCTGACATCATGTCAGCCCCTCCCATCACGCTGGGACACAGCTCTGAAGTGCAGCCTACCCTGCACTCTCCTTCCCACTTCCGCGCCAGCATTAGCTCCTCCTCTCTTTTCCTCCCAGGCTTCCCGTTCTCTTTGCTCACCCCTGCTTCCTTCACTTAACTGGACACTTCCTCTCCTGTCTGGTCCCAAGAACTTCAGCCTTCACAGGCATCCTGTGTGCCTGCTCTTGGTAGAGCCGGCCTCACAGCATGTCTGTGTTCACCTCTATGCTGTGTTCTCTCTTTACTAGGTCTCAAGCACCCTGCGCTGTTTCCCCCACACATGGCACAGTGCCTGACACACAGTGGAAGCTCAGGCAGTATTGGCTAGGGGGTGCCTGCCTGGGTGCACAGTGAGTCGCCAGCACTCAGCATCCATGGTTCCTTCACAAAGTCTGGTCAGCGCTGGGACCCAAGTTACTGTTTACAGTCCCCAGGGACCAAGGGTTAGTCCCAGTTATATCCTGAAACCAATTTCAATCAATGGCTAAGATGGAGCCAAGGACTTAGAATGGAAAAAGGCCCTGCCAGGAACTCCCTCCCACTAGAAAAGCATGGGTGGAACCAGAGGAAGTTTGTTAAGCCACTGGATACCATAGCGAGGCTCCAGATGCCGGAGACACTGGAATAGAGAGTGATTGTAACAGGGCTGAGCTCTGCAGGGCCTTCCTGAGAGATGGAAACTGTTCTGTTCCTCGTCGCTCTGATGAGCAAGCTGCCCTTCCTTCTTTTCCAGGGACCTGAAATAAAAACAGCAGGCTGGACACCAGCTAGGTGTTGGAGACTGACTCCTCCCCATTGCATTTCAGGGCCCATCCTCCCACCAGGGCATCCCTCATCGGCAGCCAGCGGCACCCTCTCATGTAGTGGACCTCCACCCCCACCTCCACCCCCAGTTCCACCTCCACCCACAGGGGCTACGCCCCCGCCCCCACCCCCTCTGCCCGCTGGAGGAGCCCAGGGGGCCAACCACGATGAGAGCTCTGCATCAGGACTGGCTGCTGCCCTGGCCGGAGCCAAGCTGAGGAGGGTGCAGCGGGTAAGAGGGTGGACATGCCAGTCACCATCACACATCAGCAAAGCACCTCTCACCCTGCCCTCACCTGCCGTCAGTGGGACACTGGACAAAAGGCTGTGCCCAGGCCCAGCCAGTTCTCTGCCAGTTACTAAACAAGTAAACAGGGACAGCACTTTGTCAGCTGCAAGCTGCCTTAGTTAATAAGTGCTGAATCTGCCTTTGCTTTTCCCATGGAACTCGCTTCCAGCTGACTCAGTTTGCTCCCCACCCCTGGGGTGCATGTGCTCTGGAATGAGCAGCATGTGGTCATAAAAGAGTGCCTCTGATGCATATCTCTGGCTTGAAATTTGCTTCCCTCCTCTCTTGTGACCAACTGACTTTGGCAAGGACTCAAGCCTGTGAGCCTACCATGCCAGTCCCTGGTCCTCCTTCTCTAGTCTCCTTTTTTGACCTGTGCAGTTGGGAGTGTTGGACTAGCAGCCTCATTCCTCAGGTCTTTCTCCATCCTGCATCCACCGGGGCTGCTGCTCCACCACTGGACCAGAGTGTGACACACACTCGCTTCCTCACCCTCAGCCAGAAGATGCGTCTGGAGGCTCCAGCCCTAGTGGGACTTCAAAGTCCGATGCCAACCGGGCCAGCAGCGGGGGAGGAGGAGGAGGCCTCATGGAAGAGATGAACAAACTCCTGGCCAAGAGGTGGGTCTGATGCCTTTGGAGTCTGTGTGCCTCTTGGGGAACTACGATCCCCAGGGGAAGGTCATTGCTAAGACACATTCGGGGGCAAGAAGAGCACCCCTGCACTTGTGAGCCCGACAAACATAAAGCACACTCCCAGAGTTTTAGAGAGCTCTTTAGAGAATGTGGAAGGGGCTAGGTGGAATTACAAGATGACTTGAGCCCAGAGACATGGTAGAAGATAGGCCCCTCTGTGTCAGCGTTGGCTCTGGACCTATTTTCTGGTTGTCCCAGTAGGTATGGCTCTAGCCTGCACAGGCCATTGTTGCCTGTCATCCTTAAGTGTGACCAGCACTAGGAATGCTGACTCTGGGTTACTGAGGCTCTGGCTGACCTGAAGACCCAGAGGGCACAGGAGCAGGCCTAGTGTCGGAGCACTCTGTGCCTGAGAGAAGCTCAGCACAGATGAAGCCACAGCAGAGGCCTGGGCCCTGGTGCTCCAGTAGGTGCCATAGGTGAGAGTACCTGGCAGGGTGGGCAGGCCAGGCACCCTCACACATCAGCAAAGCACCTCTCACCTCACTGGCTGCTGCCCTGGCCGGAGCCAAGCTGAGGAGGGTGCAGCAGGTAAGAGGGTAGACATGCCAGTCACCATCACACATCAGCAAAGCACCCCTCACCCTGCCCTCACCTGCTGTCAGTGGGACACTGGACAAACGGCTGTGCCCCATAACCAAGTAAGTAGACCTGTCCCGGGATGAGGAGACAGCTGTGTGAGCCCTGCCGCTTGCTTTCTCATTCTCTTCTACCTTCCAGGCTGACCAACCTGAGTGAAAACTATGCCTAATTCATTGTTGTCCTAATTCATCTCATTAAATCCAAGAGGGAGGGAGGCCCTGTAAGTATGGAGAGAGGAGACGGGTCCAGAAGTGCAGGCAGTGGGCTGTTGCTTCACGGTGGGCCAGAACCTGGCCTCCTCTACATACACAGCAGCCACTGCACTGAAGACTAGCGTGAGAGGGCAGTGAGGTGGGCTGGAGCACGGGCCTTCCTTCTCACGCCTCCTAGAAGGCCCAGGCAGACATCAGTTGCCCAGACAGGAGCCAGACGTGTAAGCAGCAGTAAGTCCTGGCCTGCAGGAGGGAGAGCATGGGCCTCACAGAGGAGGCTCCAGCGGCACTCGGCCTAGAGCAGTGCCATTCTCTGGGCTGGGGCATAGAGAGGTGCCAGGTGGTGTGCAGGCAACTATCTGCGCATGCTGAGAAGCCTGGTACGTGTGGAGGACTGGACTGCTGGAGGTAGGCTGCAGCTAAGGCTGGATTGCCCAGGGGGCTTGCATCTCAGAGCCCTGGAGGAGAAAAGGGCTTCAGATAAGAGTAGAAAAGAAAATAGTTACACCTTCCCAGTGAGCTTAACAACTCGGCCTAGATCATGTACCCAAAATGAGAGGGAGTACTCTTTCACTCTTGACAAACAGGAGAAGGCCAGCGGCACTGGGAGCCATGGAGACACCAGGTGCCAGGGTAGAGGTGGAGGTGGATCCGGGCCCTACAAAGCAAATGTGCTTTGCACAATCCGCAGGATCAACCAAACAACTCTTTGGAATCCACCCCAGTGAGAATGACAGCCCTGCAGCTTTGGTCTCCTGCTTCTCTTCCAGCAGGGGTCTGCCTGCGGTGGAGAACAGGGCATGTGAGCACTCAGGGCTGCTGTGTGGCCAGCCCCGATACGGGCCTTTCCCTCTAAGTCTCACCAGTGGAGAGTGGACTGGCTTGTCTAGTTGTCCTTTGTCAGCTTTTCAGTGTTGGGATGGAACTCATGGCCTCCCTCACACATGCTAGGCAAATGTATTACCACTGAGGCACACTTTTAGGCCAGGCTACCCTCTATTTTTAAGAGATAAAACATGGGCTTCTGGGCATCAGTGGATTGAAATGGGGTAAAGTGGCTGGGTAGACCAGTAGTTGTAGTCCAGGGAGAGGTGATGGTGACTGGCATGAAGAGGCTGGCAGTGAGGACAGGTCAGTGGGAAGAGATCTAGAGACAGGATTGATGACTATTCCTGGTGTGTGGAAAGAGGAGCTAGAGCTGTCCTGAGATGAGACAGCTGTGTGAGCCCTGCCGCTGCAGCCAGAGGCGGCTCCTTCCCACACACTCGTCACCACTTCACTCCTGGTAAGCCACTCACCTCAGGTTATGAGAGCCTAATGCTTTGGAGGCCTCACGCATTGAAAATCCACCAGAGCACACTGTTGGGAAGTATGGGAGGGAGCCAGGTGCAGGTGACCATTGAGAGCAGAAGCATTGTAAAGTTAGAGTCCTGTAAAAGGAGTTCTCACGTATGTGGGGAATATGCAGGTGTTGAGCGTAGGGCAGCCCTGCTGCTCTCGGGGCAACTTTGGCTCCTTGGTGTTGTCCTGGTCTGGGAAGGGTGTGACTAGGTTAACTGAGGCCCCAGACAGGAGAGCAGCAAAATGTGACTTGATGCTGGGCTCGAGGTTCCCCAGCCAGCCAGCTGCAACAGAACCCCCTGCAGCTCTGACCCAGAGACAGACTGTCGGCCAGGGTACCGGTCTATCCTCAGGCCTTGTGTGTCTTGGGAGTAGAGCCTCTCAGTTAAACCCTGTCCCTGGAGACCTAAACAGAGGACAGCCAGCTTCTTTCTCCCTCAGAAGCTATGGCCACCACCAGCAGAGCTGAACAGAGAAACACCCAAGGGCTTCCTTCCTGCCCAGACTAGTTTTGAGTCTAGGTCATGGGTGAGCACAGAAAGTCTTACCCCCTGGCCTTCGCTCATGTGAGGAAGGGTGCCTGACTAAAGCAGCCTGTTCACATAAACAGACATCCTGATCCACACATGACCCACTGGGGAACCAAGGGTGGGCACGGAGGCAGCCCAGAGTTCTCGGTCACTATGGAACCTTGGGAAGCTGATTTGTATTTTTCCCCCCTGAACATCTAGGAGGAAAGCAGCCTCCCAGACAGACAAGCCCGCTGACAGAAAGGAAGACGAGAGCCAAACGGTAGGCCCCCTCCCCCATCCCCACTCCTGGCCACCCCCACCCTCAGGCTTGCCTCCCAGCAAATCTCCCAGCAAGGCCACTGGGAACTAGGGGCCTGGTGTGGAGGTAGATAGCTGGGAGGGAGGGACAGGGATCCCTTCGTGGTGTGGGCCCAGGCAGACTCGCACCTCCTGAGCATTCTCTTGACCAGACCCTTGGAGCCATCACTCGGCAGGGGAAGCAGAAGCGGGAAAGTCACAGCCACCAGGAGTGCTGGGAGAATCCCCAGTGGAGCCACAGCGCCACTGTACTCCAGCATGCCAGGGCTGCATCAAGGGATGTGGGTGCATCTGCTGAAGTCTTGGGAAGTCAGACCGTTTTATTTCAAAATTACTTAATTCTAAACATTCCACTTGAGTCCGTCAAGGCCAGTGGGAGCTGAGGTCCCCAGCCATGGCAGAGAATCCTAGAAACCTGGGCCCTGTCCTGCAGCCATATGAAGCCTGGTCTGGCAGCACAGAGCTCCCAGCCCCAACTTCTGTCTGTGGTCACCAGTTTTCTTTATGTACGTGATAAGCTTTCTTAAAACAAATAAGTAGACTTGTACTGGGACGACTGAGTGTACACCTCAGATACAGACAGCATGAAGGCTGCTCCTCACCAGCAGAACTAGAGAGAATTGTAGCTACCTGGGACCAGTGTATGCTTCCTGCCTCACTTTGCTCACCTGCTTAGCCAGTGAGGTGGGTCTGCTCCTCACTGTGCTCTGTGCTGCTTCGCCAGGCCTGGGCATGTGCAGTTCTCTCTGCGACCAGCAGCTCCTCAGCCTGTACTTCTGCATGATCTTTACTCCCTACACATGGCCTCTCAGACCCCAGGTTAGGAAGATTACCCCCATTCCTCTAGCTCTCTGCTTCTGCCATGCCCTTCATACACTCAGGATTGCCTTGCAGGCCTGCCAGGGACCAAACCGAGGTCCTCACTCACTGACCTGCGTCTTGCATCCCTGGGAACTTGAACCACACATGCTGGAAATACAAAGGCCTATGTGGCCAGGAACCACAGGATATTTACATAGGTGTGTTAGGACCTGGTAGCCACATTTTCTTGATTCAGCACTGTCTTTTCTTTGGTGGTAGCTAATACCCCACCTCCCCCAGCCCCAGTTTCATAGTTCCTCAGGCCATGGAACCTTGAGGAGTGGATTTCACTATTTTTTCCACCCTTTTTTAGGCAGATCTTCCTGTATAAATCTGCCTGGATAGGGTGCTGGGGGGCAAGAAGCTATCTTCCTGAGGCTCTTTCCTCTTCACTGTTCAGTCTGGTAGCCCTGCTGTGACATGAGGGTTTTGTTCTTTAGTGATAGACATCTCCTAATCATATTCCTTGAGGACATTTGGAAAGCAAGCTGGTACAAAGGTGTCCTGCCTTGTCCCTAAGCAGCCTTCCTAACTAGACTAATGAAAGGGCCCTTCTCTCCCATTTTAGGAAGATCCTAGCACCTCCCCATCCCCAGGGACCCGAGCCACCAGCCAGCCACCTAATTCCTCAGGTAAGAGGGTACCTAGTCCAACAAGTCTTGAGGTCTTAGAGCAGGTGGTCAGCTAATCTGGCCACTTCACTCAATGGGCGAGCAGAGAGGGTCAAGTCTACTGAGTTCCAGATCCTCAGAGCTTCCCAAGTAGACCAGGCAGACAGCTGAGCAGGTGTGATAAGGAGACCTTAACCCTGGTCCAGCTAAGGGAAGGTACTAAGAGTATCATGTAGGGCCTGGCAAGAGGCTGGGCTGCCATGTGGTGGTGAGGTGTTTTTCTTTCTTTTTTTTTTTTTTTTTTTCTTTATAGTCCAGAGCCTCCATACAGCAGTCAAGCAAGCTACCACTTAGCCCCAGCCCTGGCCAAGGAGCTCTTTAATGTCCCATCTTGTGTGTGCTGTGTAATGAAAACTAGATAGATGCTGTAGTTAGATCACCAATGGACCTTACTCCATCAGAAACACAGCCTGGCTTGCCCACCTGGTCACTGCGTCAGCTGTGGCAGAGGGGATGTGGTTAGGAGATGTCATGAGGCTTAGCTGTAGGAAGGCGACCCAGATGCTGGGTATTTGGGCTTCAGTTGACACTGCACTCAATGTCAGCCTTGCACTAAGCTTTGGGCTCATGTATGTGGTAAGGAGAGGCAAAGGAGTCAGCTTGCCCACCTGACAGATGGATGTTCTTGCCAGCTTGTCTATACCGGTGTACATGTCTGCCAGCCTTCTAGGACTTCCTGGGCTGTTGATTCCTTACTGGTCAGTGTTACTGTCATTATTTTTCTACTGTGTGAGTTAAGGAATGTCCCATGCTTAGCAGTTTTTGGCTCCCTGTGGTGAAGTATTCTATTGAGGCCTCACCTGGAGTATAGCTGTGGCCTCGGGACTTGTTCCGATAAGCCCTTTGCACCTGCCAGGTGGCTTTGAGATAACCTGCCTCAGACCTGAGGCTGGCCCCTTTGCTCGACCCCTGGCCAGTGTGTTCCGCTCGGTTTAGTATATTTCCTGTGCATTGGAGCATGAATTGTAATCTAGTACAACAAAGGTTGAGCGTTCCCAGCCCCCAAACCCAAAATGCTCCAGATTCTGAAACTTCTCCATCAAGTTTCAGGTGAACTGAATCTGCAGCACTTCTGGTCCCAAGTGTCTCACGGGGAGCCCTCTGCCTGTGGCACTAGACTTAGAAAGGGAGGGTGGCTTCCGGCCAAGGAAGGGAGCGGGCCAGACTCTGTGAGGAGCCTGGCCACAGGAGCACTAATGAGAATGTTGGGAGGAGTCCCCATCGGCTCCTTGTAGCTGATAGCTCTGCTTCCCCATCAGTGGGACCAAACTCCACGGAGAGGACTCAAGTTTCTAAGGAACAGGAACCCTGGAGTTCCAAGGGTGCCCTGGTGAAGGGGGACTGACGCTCAGGAGCCAGGTTGCAGCTCTGCTCTGAGCAGCCTTCCCACAGTCACTCTGCACCCAGAGCCTGGGCAGGCTCCTGCAAGGGGTGTTTAGGAGTCGGGTGACCCCGAGCCCTTTCAACTCTGACCCTTTATGAAATGAATTGACAGAGGCTGGCCGAAAGCCCTGGGAACGGAGCAACTCGGTGGAGAAACCTGTGTCCTCGTTGCTGTCCAGGTGAGCTGTTCTGGGAGGGCCAGGAGACGAGTCTCAGGGGCGGGCTTTGGCACTGGTTCACATGTCTGTTTCATTCCATTGCCGTAGAACCCCGTCTGTGGCAAAGAGCCCCGAAGCTAAGAGTCCCCTTCAGTCGCAGCCTCACTCTAGGTACCGACAACCCTCCTGCCCACGTGTTACCTGGGCTCTGGGGCCTCCTCTGTCTCCTTGCCCATGACTAACACCTCCCAGCCCTGTCTCGTGTCTTGGTATTAACACCTTGCTCTGGGAAGGGTAGTCTGCTCTTTCAGACCTGGGGAAAGCTAGGGACCCTCCAGTGGTGTAGGCTGGCTCCTCCCTCTCCTGAGAAGGGAAAGCCAGAGCCCTGGAGAGGTGTGACTTGTGAGGGAAGGGGAGGCAAAGCAGAGAGCCATCGGTCCCTACCACGCAGGGCAGCTGTGGGGACTGCTGCACCCGTCAGCCCGGCATCCTGCCCCTTCTGGTCATTCTTGGTCCCCTTCCTTTGCCGTCAGCACACCTAGCCAGACTCCTGACAAATCAGCTGACCATGTTTCCCAAACCAAATGCCAGTGTAACGGCAGGATAGACTCTTGAGAACTAAGCTGGCCCCCCAAAAAAATCAAAGATGGTGACTGAAGCCTGCATTTGAAGGCCCCTAAGCCCACACCAGGAGTGATCTCCACTGACCACCCCAAATGGAAGCCAGCAGCTCTTGTCACAGAGCAGGTGACACCAGAAGCCCGGCTTGCAGAGTGAGACAAGGCGATGAGCAGAGCAGAGCTCCAGCATGGC